ACGGCGTGATCTCAGCTCATCAAAACCTCCCATCTCCCAGGTTCAAGGGATTCTCCTGCCTCAGCCTCCCAAATAGCTGGGATTACAGGCACCCACCACCACGCCTGGATAATTTTTGTATTTTTAGTAGAGACGGGGTTTCACCATGTTGGCCAGGCTGGTCTCGAACTCCTCCTGACCTCAGGTGATCCGCCCGCCTCAGCCTCCCAAAGTGCTGGGATTACAGGCGTGAGCCACTGCACCCACTGGATAGCTTTCTTAAATCCAACCTTTCACGTTTATTGCTGTAAATGTGACTTTTAAACTTTTCCCCCAGTTTATTTGGAATTTTAGAAATTCCATAGCAATGGGTAAGAAGGTTTAAAGATTGGAGCCGGCAGCCTCAGGATGCGTCTCAGAGAAGAGCTGGCGGCCTTGGCTCTTCCCGCCGCCCCAGCCTCCCTCCTTGGTTCGTGACCTCATTTCCCTCACAGACATCCGCTGGCCACCCCTGGCTTCTGGTGTCCGTGAAGGTCCATCCAGCTCAGGCTGGCTCTCAGGGACCTCGTGGGACAGTCTTAGTTCCGTTCTCACCAAGCGATACTCAGGGCCTCCTAGTGTTGCCGACACCAGGGGCAGCCTTTTCCTGGCTCTGTTCTCTCAGCATTTCCTCCCTGGGATATGAGCCTCTAACCCAGGCAGACCAGCCTCGGCATAGCTCGAAGGGTAAGAGCGGGAGCTTCGGGGTCTGACAGCCTGGAGTCATGAGACCTTCGGCAAGTGACTTCCCCGCTCTGAGCATCCCTCAGGGACACTCTCACAGTATCCTCGTGGGGAATATGGGGTGGGTGTGGGCACACCTACTGAGCGTGGCAGCTGGCACACACTGGCACTGTGCACATGGCAGCCGCTGCTGGGCCCACTGCTCGGGGGCCAGGCTCTGGTCAGCCCAGGACGGCCTCTGCCTGTCCGTGCCCTCCTGCCTGTTGTTTGCTCTGTGTCTGAACTGACCTCTCACCTATATCTCCCCTGCCGGACTGAGGACTGAGATGCTGCTTCCTGTTGCCGGATAGACTAAGGATTTAAGAGCCGGGAGATCCTGGGCAGGGGCCATCGGTGGGCCGTCCAGGGGCCCGCACCCTGGAGCGGGGGGCTCAGAAAGCAGCCAGTCAGGGAAGGGGGAAGCTCAGGAATTTAGAGGGAACCTCAAGCCAGGTACTCCTTGGCCCCCTCAAGCATCATCTTGGAGGCCCCCTCCCTTTGTCTCCCGGGGTATGGGGAGGCTCCTATTTGACTTGGGGGAGCCTGAGAGAGCCACAGCACCCTCTTTTCTCCCTGATTCCTCTGTGAAGATCTTGTGCGTCTTCTGTGAGCGGGGCTGAACAGGGTTCCTCCGCCCTGGCCCTGGGTCTCTTCCTAAGCAGCCCTGTTCCTGTTCTGGGCACTCACTGGCCACACCAACTCTTGCCTGTCTTCTCTGTTCAACTTCTCTGTCCGGCCTGGGCTGGGCCACTTCTGGCCGCCCCGGAGGAGGCGTCCGTTTCATAAACAGGTGCAGGTGAGGAGCAGAGCAGGCTGGCCGGGAATGAGCAGAGCAGGCTGGCCCAGGGTCAAGCTCTAGGCTGGGAGCAGAGGACTGCCCCACGCCTTGGCACTTCCTGGGCGCTTAATCTGTTTGTCTCTCTCCTGGCCCACAGTGGCCCAGGTGGGAGCAGAGGGAGGGGAACAGCCTGGGTGTGTCTGTGTTTGGGCATCTGCTGGAGCGGTGACGGTGACTGTGGTGCTGCTGTTTACTGTCAACAGAGCTTCTGGGCTCACCAAGGGCTTCGTTCCCTCCAGCAGCAGGTAGACTCTCCCCAAGCAGAAGGGGAAGCCGCTCACCTCCCCCGCCCCAGGCGCATCTGTTGCTGGACAGGACTGCCTGGAGGCAAGCGGCCGGGCAGAGGGCCTGGTGGCCCCAGCGGCAGGGATTTGTTTAAGGGGAGAAGGCTGGTGGTCTAGAGTGCAAGGTCCTTGCGCCTGTGTGTCGTGACTGCAGGGTAAAAGATGGGAAGGACAGATACCGTTGCCTCTCCCCTGACCTTGCCTCCCCCCTATGTAGTTAAAGGGGTGACCAGATCTCTAATCAATTTAAGACTTTTTGGTTGTTGTTTGTTTGTTTGGAGACACAGTCTCACTCTGTGGCCCGGGCTGGAGTGCAATGGCACGATCTGGGCTCACCGCAACCTCCGCCTCCTGGGTTCAAGCGATTCTCCTGCCTCAGCCTCCCGAGTACCTGAGATTACAGGCGTCCGCCACCACGCCCGGCTAATTTTTGTATTTTTAGTAGAGAAGGGATTTCACTGTGTTGGCCAGGCTGGTCTCAAACTCCTGACCTCAGGTGAGCCACACGCCTCAGCCTCCCAAAAGGCTGGGGTTACAGACTGAGCCACCGTGCCCGACCTGATTCTGTTTTTTTGTTTGTTTGTTGTTGTTGTTGTTGTTGTTTTGAGACAGAGTCTCACTCTTTTGCCCAGGCTGGAGTGCAATGGTGTGATCTTGGCTCACTGCAACCTCTGTCCCCCAGGTTCAATGATTCTCTTGCCTCAGCCTCCTGAGTACCTGGGATGACAGGCACCCACCACCACGCCCGGCTAATTTTTGTATTTTTAGTACAGATGGGGCTTCACCATGTTGGCCAGGCTGATGTTGAACTCCTGACCTCAGGTGATCCACCCGCCTCTGCCTCCCAAAGTGCTGGGATTACAGGCGTGAGCCACCGCACCTGGCCCTGTTGTTTCTATTCATTCCGTAAACAGCTATTGTAGGCCAAGACCTGGGTGAGATGCTGGGGACACAGAAGTGACCACAATGCAGACCCTGCCTCTCAGGGCTCACAGCCCAGTGGGGGATTAGACGTGTCTTTGCGCTTCCACACACGCTTTCGGGACTGTGCTCCCGGTGTGCAGCCACTGCGTCCGGCTCTGTGCCAGCTGGTCGCGCCCTGATTCCCATCCGGAGCCTCCGGTGGCAGCCATGATCATCATAGCCATGAGAACAGCAGCAACTGGCAGCGATTCGCTATTGAGCGCTTTCTATGCCTGGGTGAGCTCCAGAAAGTTTTCTGGATTTTCTCATTGATCTTCCCCCAAACTCTAGGAGGTGGATCTTATTATTCTAGGATGTCCATTTTATAGACAAGGAAACTGAGCTAGAGCAAGGTGATGCAGGTAGAAAGTGGAGGAACCAAAACAGGAAGCTCGAAGCCAGATTCCAGTTCCACGCTCGTCATCCACACGGCCCCGGCGAGCCTCCCTGGTCACACGTTGGCATGAGGCATGATTCCACCCGTGTGCATCCTTTCCGGTGACCTTGGAGGAGCCCCGAGAGGCCTGAGCAAGCCTTTGCAAACCTCAGCTCTACAGCCCTGGCGCCAGAGGGCTGCAACTGGAAGGCAGGCAGTTATCGGAAGAAAAGCGTTTCCTTGACTCTCCCAGTGTGACCTCGCGTCTAATCAAAGTCGGCTCCTGTTTTGTACAGGATTAGTCAGCATCTCTTAACTAGCAGTCCCGGCCAGGAGAGCTCCTCAGCCACGTTCCCAGCCCGTCCTCCACCCTCCCGTCTTCAGCTGCCACAGCACTTTTCTCTGCCTTTTTGTGTTGTTTTGGTGCTGGGTGGACTTTGGAGGGGGCCATTAAGGGCTGGGTGTGGCAGACACACCAGACGCAGCACCCAGTGAGGTCACGGGATGGCATCACAATGACCCCGGCAAGGAAAATAAGAAAGGTGCATCTCGGCCGGGCGCGGCAGCTCACACCTGTAATCCCAGCACTTTGGGAGGCAGAGGTGGGGGGATCACCTGAGGTCAGGAGTTTGAGACCAGCCTGGGCAACATGGTGAAACCCCGTCTCTACTAAAAATACAAAAATTAGCCAGGTGTGGTGGCATGTGCCTGTAATCTCAGCTACTCGGGAGACTGAGGCAGGAGAATTGCTTGAACCCAGGAGGCGGAGGTTGCAGTGAGCCGAGATCATGCTACTACACTCCAGCCTGGGCAACAGAGTGAGACTCCGTCTCAAAAAAAAAAAAAAAAAAAAAAAAAGAGGCTGGGCACAATGGTTCATGCCTGTAATCCCAGCACTTTGGGAGGCCGAGGCAGGCAGATCACGAGGTCAGGAGATCGAGACCATCCTGGCTAACACTGTGAAACCCCATCTCTACTAAAAATACAAAAAAATTAGCTGGGCGTGGTGCCGGGCGCCTGTAGTCCCAGCTACTCGGGAGGCTGAGGCAAGAGAATTGCTTGAACCCAGGAGGCGGAGGTTGCAGTGAGCCGAGGTCATGCTACTACACTCCAGCCTGGGCAACAGAGTGAGACTCCGTCTCAAAAAAACAAAGAAAAGACAAAGAAAGAAAGACAAAGAAAATATCAGGGGGAGAAGGTGAGAAAGTGGCATCCGTCCCACGTTTGAGAAGGCAGCTGGACTTCCCATCGAAGGAGGCGCCCCGGTCTCCGCACACTGACAGACGAGAACTAGGCTATCGGGGTGAGGCCGGTGCTTGTCCTTCCCAAGTGGTCTGGGGTCTGCCTCCATGCTGGCTTCAGTCTGTCCCCCTGGACACAGCTGCCGTGAGCAGGTTCTCACCAGCCTGGGGCCGCACAGCCAGGGCGGGACCCTGAGGTCTGCTGTTCTGGGGTGGCGGATGGGACTCTCAGCCTGGGCTTCGTTGCTCTTCAAGGGACACGTGAAGCTCCTGAAACTGTGGATAAACCTTGGTGTGCATCTTCTGGGGAGGTCTTTATTGGATTCCTCAAAGGGTCCACAAAAGTTACCCCTCAAAAGTTAAGAACCTGTTTTCACTCCAGGGGACTTGAGCCAAATGGCCATCCAAGCCCGCTGTGGGGTAGCCTGAGCCCTCGAGAGGCCCCCAGCCAGCCCTGGCATTCCCAGTGGGGCACTCCGAGTGGGCACCTGCCCCTCTGATCTTTGGGAATCCCTGTCTTGACCCCGAGGTCAGGGTTTCCTTCCCTCTTCACACAGAGAATGTCACCAATGGCACAGTGGGCAGCACAGCAGAGCCGGGGCACGAGGAGGTGAGCTGGATGAACGGCTGGCTCAGCTGCCAGGCCCAGGACGAGATGCTAAATTTGGCCTTCACCGTGGGCTCCTTTCTGCTCAGTGCCATCACCCTGCCCCTGGGTATCGTCATGGACAAGTATGGCCCGAGGAAGCTCAGGCTGCTGGGCAGGTCAGTGCGGGTCCCTTGGGGGGCAGGGAGTGGGCAGGTGGACCCCCTGGGCTGAGTTCCCCATGGAAGGGTATCCTGGTCATACCTGCTATCAAGTGTACTGTGGAGCTCCCTGAAGGCCCATCCAGAATGGAGTTCGTTCCCCATCCGCCACCGAATCAGCAGGTACTGTGGTCCTCGCCACGCTCCAGTACTCAATAAGAAAAGCACCAGGCTCCAGGCCGCCCGGGGGATCTGGAGTTGCTTGTCACTAAGAACATGGGTTTCTGATCCCTTTGTAGTTCATAAGCGTAATAATTGGGGTTTCACTCTCATGTGTGAGACATGCTTCCCTCAAACCTTCTTACAAGGCTGGCACAGTATTCATCTGATGAGGGAAAAAAAAAACAAAACACTGGTTTCCACAGCCTGGTTGACCTTATACCTCCACCAGAAAAAAGATTTTCAACACGTACCCCCAATATAATAAGCATATCGAATTCTAAATGATGTATATCTGTGCCTTTTTTTTTTTTTTTCAAGACAGAGTCTTGCTCTGCCACCCAGGCTGGAGTGTAGTGGCATGATCTTGGCTCACCGCAACCTCTGCCTCCCCAGTTCAAGCAATTCTCCTGTCTCACCCTCTCGAGTAGCTGGGATTACAGGTGCCTGCCACCATACCCAGCTAATTTTTGTATTTTTAGTAGAGACAGGGTTTTACCATGTTGGCCAGGCTGGTTTCGAACTCCTGGCCTCAGGTGATCCACCCGTCTCGGCCTCCCAAAGCGCTGGGATTATAGGCGTGAACCATTGTGCCCGGCCCCTATGCCATTCTTCTTTTTTTCTTTTGAGATGGAGTTTTGCTCTTGTTGCTCAAGCAACTGTAGCTGGAGTGCAGTGGCTCCCAGCCCCCTATGGCATTCTTAATGTGCTTTATAATACATATACAAAAATGAAAATGGGCTGGCCATGGTGGCTCATGCCTATAATCCCAGCATTTTGGGAGGCAGAGGTGGGCGGATCACCTGAGGCCAGGAGTTCGAGACCAGCCTGGCCAACATGGCAAAACTCTGTCTCCACTAAAAATACAAAAATTAGCCAGGCGTGGTGGCATGCACCTGTAATATCCCAGCTGCTTGGGAGACTAAGGCAGAAGAAATGCTTGAACCTGGGAGGCAGAGCTTGCAGTGAGCCAAGATCGCGCCATTGCACTCCAGCCTGGGCGACAGAGCGAGGCTCCGTCTCAAGAAAAACCAGAAAAAGGCCAGGCGCAGTGGCTTACACGTGTAATCCCAGCACTTTGGGAGGCCGAGGTGGGCGGATCACGAGGTCAGGAGATCGAGACCATCCTGGCTAACAGGGTGAAACCCCATCTCTACTAAAAATACAAAAGTTAGCCAGGTGTGGTGGCGGACACCTGTAGTCCCAGATACTCGGGAGGCTGAGGCGGGAGAATGGCGTGAACCTGGGAGGCGGAGCTTGCAGAGAGCTGAGATCGCGCCACTGCATTCCAGCCTGGGAGACAGAGCGAGCGGCTCCGTCTCAAGAAAAACCAAAAACAACAACAAAAAAAACCAATAACACGGAATAAAGTCATAATGGTCAATAACATTCCGTTTCTGCTTGGTTTTAGCGCCTGCTTCGCGGTTTCCTGCTTGCTGATTGCATATGGAGCCAGTAACCCAAACAGTGAGTGTGCCCTTCCTCCATCTTTCGTCAGGGACTGGGGAAAGAGTGCCCCGAGCTGCTCCCAGGCCCACCTGCTCTTGGACACTGTCCTGGGCCTGCTGTTCGCTGCTCAAGTTAGAGGGGACCCCTGTTAGGCCTCTACTCAGTTACTTATCTCAAACGGACGGGGGGATCAGAGAGCAGCCACCGTGGGCAGGAGCTCTCAGGGTATGAGCAACTTCCACTTCATCACCAAACCAGGCCAGTCCCTCACTGATGCCAACCCGAGAGGCCAGTTCTAAGAAGCAGGCCGGCTGCAGGGGCCCGGTCCTCAGTGTGTGCAGAAGTCACGAGCCGAGTCCCCTCCAGGCAGCGCAGGCCAAAGCATGAAGGATGGCTTAAAAGCCACCTGGTCCACAACCCTGTTCCGGTGGAGCCATTGTTTTAAGGACTTGTAGCGCAAACACCGAAAAAGGACTTGAGTTTCACCAAAATCTTAGCCAGGCTCATCTACTGATTTTCAGGAACCTATACTTTTGATTTTGGTGAAGTAGCTTCTTTAGGCCTCCTGCTTGCTGCTAATGTTTGTTCTTCTTGTTGTTGTTGTTTTGTTTTGTTTTAGAGACAGGGTCTCTCTCTGTCACCCAGGCTGGAGTGCAGTGGTGCAGTCACAGCTTACTGCACCCTGGACCTCCCGGGCTCAAGTGATCGTCCCACTTCAGCCTCCAGAGTAGCTGCGACTGCAGGCACGCACACCCACACCTGGCTAATTTTTAATTTTTTTTTTTTTTAGAGGTGAGGTCTCACTTTGTTTCCGGGGCTGTACTTTTTTTTTTTTTGAAGCGAGTTTTGCTCTTGTTTCCCAGGCTGGGGTGCAATGGCGCCATCTCGGCTCACAGCAACCTCCGCCTCCCAGGTTCAAGCCATTCTCCTGCCTCAGCCTCTGGAGTAGCTGGGATTACAGGCATGCGCCACCAC